GGAGGAGAGGGGAGGGGAGGGGAGGGGAGGGGGAGGAAGAGAGTCAGTGGGACAGAAGAAGAGTTCTAGCCATATTGGAAAAGGTCCCCAGTTCCTGGCCTCCTCTCTCTGGACTTTGCACAGTACCTCCCCTAATTTTGCCATTTTCTCCTGGAGCTCTGCATACTCTCCCCACGAGGGGGTCTCCATCCATTCTCTGCCTCTGCTCTCACCTTGACCTTCCACTGATTCTGCTCCAGTCGCAGGGTGTGGTTGGCCACCAGGACTGTGATGGCCTTGGTCACACTGACTTGCCCGTTGCCCCAGGCCTCATTCTCCTGCAGGACAGTGAACTCGTGTAGGCCGGGCCGGGTTCCACAAGTCTGCGCTAGCACATACACACAGGTGCCCATGAAGTCAAAGCGGCGGCCGTCAAAGGTGATGTAATGAGGATCTCCTGATGCCTGGCAGGTGGTAGTGCCCACAGCCACACAGCCCAGGACTCCGTTGGATGGTTGGCAAGCCTCATGTGGGCCACAGGATGAGGGCTCACAGGAAACCAGGCCACCTTCCTGGCAGTGGCAAAGAGAATCGCATCCAGGCCCAGGGTAGAAGGTTTCTCCTGGTGGGTGGTACGTGCCCTGGTGTACACAGCCACAGGAGGCCAGAGGCACACAAGACTCACCACTGAGGGCATAGCCCTCATCACAGACACAGCTCTCTCGGCATTCCGTGCCACAGCCTTGGGACACTGGCAGGTCTCCACAGGACAGCGGGCATCCGTAGGAACACGGCTCGTAGTGGCTGTGAGGTGGGCAGGCCAGGGCTGCAGAGAGAGGGCCATCAGGGTCACTAACTCTTTCAAAGGGACACAGTGGATGCCCCCAGTTTACACACAAGCAAGGGACCCAGCTGCAAGGTGTCTGTATGTTCAGTGGGTCCAGAAGAACAGTTCCTATCACATTTGATTAGATCCTGTCAATTAATATTTGTTCTAACAGTACTGGAATTGGTGACTAACGGCTGTCCAAGTTGAGTATAAACTTTGTGTATGCATGTTTTAGACACGCATGCCCATGTACGTGTGAGTAATCTCTGCGGTGTATCTGTGGATGTGTCTTTCCTTTTCACCCCTCCCCCTCCCTCCTGCCCCTCTCCTCTGGCTTCTTGCATTTTCTTCTAACTCAGAACCTCTGACTTTCAAGCAAAGCATTCCACCATTCTCTAGTAGTAGCTTTCATATTATAGATGTACATACACAGACACACACACACCACACACACATTAGACAGACACACAGAGACACGCCATACACACACCATACAGACACACAGACACACCACACACACACACTACACAGACACATGTACCTAGAGTTTTCCTGCCTGGCCCACAGTCAGGACAAATCTTTGTCACCCGCCAGTCCCACAGCCGCTCAGACCCAACCAAGTAAACACAGAGACTTATATTATTATAAACTGTATGGCCATGGCAGGCTTCTTGCTAACTGTTCCTATAGCTTAAATTAACCCATTTCTATGAATCTATACCTTGCCACATGGCTAGTGGCTTACACACACACACATACACACACACCACACACACACCACACACACACAGACATACCACACAGACACACCACACACACACACCCCACACACACCGCACTACACACACATACACATACCACACTACACACACCATACAAACATACACACACACACCACACAGACACACACATACACACACCACATTACACACACACACACCATACAAACAGACACAGACACACACACACGCACACCACACAAATACTGTAATAGTGGTTTTAAATACGATACCATGTTGATCTTTGTGGAATGGATGATGGACATAAAGGGTCTACTGTCCTAGCATGCTTTGAGGTAGGTTCAACTTTTCCCACAATGAAAGGTTCTTAAAGGTCAAAGATTACCACTTGCTGGGAGTTTCAGTGTTTGCAATTAACTTGAGATGGAGCGGCTAGAGGTGCATACTCCACTCAGAGTTCAAATCCCCCTCCCAGGGCAGGGAACCTGGCGGCATTTACACAGTTTGGCCTCATGCTGGAAGCTAGTCAAGCTGCATGTTAATGTACACCACTAAACATGTGCAGTATAGGGCATCCTCAAGTCAAGTTTAAAACTCAGGACATGGGTACATGGCATTCCAAATCTCTGCAAAAGACAAGCTAAACTGCTTGCCAGCCCTTCCCGCACCCACATCTGAAGCAGAGACCTGCATGGGTTAAGTGTGGAGATGGGACCACGGACAACTGCAGAGGGGTCCAGGCTCATTCTAAATGCAGCACACTGCTTCTCCCTGACTGACCACTGGCGCTGGCAATCTGACTTGAGATCACCATACATGCTCAGTCCCCAGAGTCATTGCATGCTGTTGTGACTTCCTAGCTGTCTTGAGTGCAGGCATGTAGCTGCAAGTTGGTACTCTTCCATGGTATCATCACAGTACCTTCCTCACCAGGCACCATAAGGATTAAACGATGCCACTCGTATGTTAATGAACAGACATCAGACCCAACCCCAGGTCGCCACCCTTGGTACTCACGGCAAAGCGTCTCACTCCTCCAGGGATGCACAGTGCCCCCAGCAGCCTGGCATGCAGCAGCATATGCAGCCAGGGCATCACACAGTGGCTTGGGCTGACCGGGCAGCAGGCAGAGGTCATAGACACAGTCACGTAGAGCACCCTGGGGGTCCAGCAACTTGTGACACTCCCTGAAGGGACCCTCAGGATCAGCAAGGATCCCACATTCCTTTTTGCTTTGTTGTTGCTGGGTCACAAGGGAGTCCAGTTGGGGACAGTCGCCAGGGTCAGTTGCTGAACAGCCAGGTATAACCTCCTCCTGCCAGCTGTTTCCAAAGTCCAGTGCGCTGGTAGCTTGGCCTCCACCCCTCAGAGCCAGGTCATCAGATGGGTCCCCATTAAAGTTCCCACAGAGCCCACACACAGCTTTAGCATAGCTACTGGGCACCTTGGCAGTCACACGAGCATCCCAGTTGTAGGTAACAGTCAAGCCAAAGTCTGTGCGCACGACAGCATCATTGCCCTGGCGGAACACCTGAACTTGCCCGCCTGCAGCCTGGAAGGGCAGGTACTGAAGGACGCCATCCACCTGGGTAGAGACGCGGGAAGAACAACAGGTCAGTGTATTCGTGCTTTCACTCAGCTGGCTCCAGCCACCCCACCCTCCTTGGTTCCACCTCAGGGCTTCACAACAGCCATTCCCTCTGCCTAGCACATCACCCAGTGCTCCTGATCTTCTAAACTGAGATCCAAGTCTCTCCTGCTTTCAAAGCCGGCCTCACCTGTCTCCCTGGTACCCGACAGGCGCAAGTGTTTGAACACCATCCAGAGCTGATGGTGCTGCATTGGGAGGCTCTGGAACCTTTAAGAAGTGGGCCAAGCTTAGAGCAGGACAAAGCTGGGAGGAACGTTTTACAGGATATAGCCCACTGACCTCTCTCTGCTTTCTGGCCCACTGAGATGTGAGCGGACCTCTCCTCACATCCAGTTAGTATGGGGCCAGTAGCCCTGTCTTCCTACCACACTGTACCGTATCCCCTCAAACCACGGGCCAAAACGAATCCCTCCTTGCGTTGCTTCTTGTCAGGCATTGGGCCATGGAAAGAAGAGTGACTAACCCACCGGGTAGCTTTCCCCGTTTAGTCTAGCCCCAAGGGCTTTGCACTCGGCCTAAACACCATCCACCAAGCCTGCTGCTTTTGCTTATCCTTCTGGGCTTGCCTGCAGGTCAGACCTCTCACACGGAATGTCCTGCGAGACCTCGGCCCTGCCAGCGCCTTACCCATCATTACTCAGCCTCTATTGTCTCTGACTTTCCAGCCCTTACCTCCTCTGAGTCTTTTCTGGAACAGCACTCACCACTTTCCAGCCTGCTCTCTGCATGCCAGCTTTTCACTGCCAAGCCTCTCATGGCGGCCTCAAATGATCTAGATGATCTGAGTCCCAATGTTCCCTAGTCAGTCTCCCAGCACAGCCCTGCCCCTGCATCTCCAACCATTCGTGGACTCGAACTCACAGAGCTCAGTCCTGTACTTGCTGTCCCCCAGCTTGCAACATTTTCACTCGCTTCCACATCCCAGTTCTCAGACAGCGGCAAAGGTCTCCGGTATAGTCCACTCAAAACTAAGCTCTCTACCCACTTGGCCCACTCATGTCCACCTTTCTGACCCACAGTTCCTCCTGCCTCTGTATGCCATCTCCAGTGTTCCTCACGGGAATGCTCTCTTCATCTCAGTGCTACTCTAGTCTCTTCGAGACGACCCAGCCTCAGGCTTCCTAGCTGATCTCCCGTCTGCCTGGAAGACGCCTCCATTGGCCTGGTGGTGTCTTCCCTGTTCTCCAGGCCGTGCCGGAATTCAAAAGCTTGGTTCTAGCTAGCCCCCGCCCCATCTCTTTGCTCGCTGTCTCTGATCTCTCCACTCAAGCTCCATTAGCATCCTTGCTGCTCGTCACCGTCACCTGCTCCAGCTTTACGTTCCTCCCCACCTGTTCCCCGTCTTGCCTAATAAACTCCTGCGGGCGGAGAGGTAGCTCAGTAGTTAGCAGCATGGACTGCTTTTACAGAGGACTCAAGGACTGACTTCAGTTCCCAGCATGCATGGTGGGTAGCACATTGCCTGTAACTCCAGCCCAGAGGGATCCCACACTTCTGGGTCCTCTGCCACGTAGGTTCACAACCCATGCCCCTCAGTTAAAAGTAATAAAATCATTTTTCAAAGTATGAATTCCTGAGCAAAACAGCAGGGTTCCAAATTCTAGCTCGTGGGTATCTCAAACTCACTCAGGTCTTCTCAGTATCACACAGCTGTGTCTCAGGAGGTGACTTAACCTTGTGCTGACATTTTTAATCTAAGAAATAAAGCTTGCCTGAAGATCAGAGGACAGAGCCAGCCGCAGAATTAAACACAGAGGTCAGGCAGTGGTGGCACACAACTCAAATCCTAGCACTCAGAAGGCAGAGATCTGTCTGGATCTCTGTGAGTTCAAGGCCACACTGGGCTACATGAGATTGCTCTAGTCTAGGAGAGAAACAGAGCCAGGCAGTGGTGGCACACACCTTCAATCCCAGTATTCGGGAAGCACCCACGCCATTAATCCCAGCACTAGGAGGGTTGGGATAGGAAGTGAAGGGGCTGGGCAGAGACAGGCATAGAAGGCAGGAGGAGACAGGACCTGAGGCATTTGGCTGGGGACTCAGGGTCATTCAGTCTGAGGACTCGTGGAGTCGGTGAGGTGAGACGTGGCTTGCTTTGTTCCTTTGTTTCCTCTGATCTTGCAGCGTTTACCCCAATATCTGGCTCTGGGTTTGTATTATAAGACCATTTAGGATTCATACAACATAACCTCTCCGTGTTTCAGTTTTTGTTTTCAGCCAAAGTTGAACTATTTTCCTTGCTTGCTGTGGACAGGAGGTGAATGAACACGCACTGTTCCTTTAGCCCACTGAAGTTAGTGGTAACATGATGTGTGTTAGGTATTAGGAGACAAGCCATGGGCAAATGCCACGTCAGAGAGGTGAGAGAACAAATACTGATGAATAATTATTCCCTCTCCTTATCTGGAGCCCCTGTACTTACTTATGGGCACGATTTCCTTCGCTCTAAGATTGCTTTGGAGACTAGGAGCAAAAGCATGTGAGGGGTACGTGGGACCTGGAGCACAGGGAGTTCTCTCTGTCAGCCACTTCCAATGTTTCTATTCCTCGACCCAGGGGATGGGCCAGACTCCAACTAGTGCCCTCACTTCTTTATTGTAAGTGTCAGCCATCGTGTGGACACCCGGCGCCCCGCTTCTCAGTTCCCCTCTGGTGTCTACAGAGAAATGAGTGCTTCTCTACTCTCGGTGGGGCTGGGCCCTTCTGAAGGCCGTCCTGACACTGTCGGAGCTGCTCCATCTTGCTCCCAGAGGCCGGTGAGGCTCCGGGTTATCCTCCAACAAGCACATGCAGCTAGATACCGGCATCCATATGCCATCCGCTCTATGATCCACCATCTTCCAGAAAATGCACAAGTCTACAACTCTCAAGTTTCAGAAGACAGTCAACCACCACCACCATCTCCTGGGCACTTCACGGGCACCAAGGCAGACATGAGGTCATCAGAGCTCCACAACTCCCCAGCCAGTGGCTGCTGCTGCTGCTCCAGGATGAAGCCTCTCTTTTCCCCATCCTTTCTCAGAGGAAAATGCAAAGGCTACAGAGAGTCAGAGCTGAGGAGAGATGGCGCCGCCTGGCTCCTGGGCCTCCCCTTAAACCACAAGATTTTTTAAAAATCAGCCCCTTCCACCCCAACTGCAGCCACTAACCTTCAGGGGATTCACACCCTCCCCCAATTCCCTACCCGGGGGCGCTCACCAGCACTCTTCCGGGGTGCCTCCTGCGCACAGCCACCTCGACACCGCGGGCCACCACCCGCACAGCTCTGGTGTAGCTCACAGTCTGGCTTCCTCGGTGTTCATTCTCCACCAGCACCTTAAAGTCAGGCAGCGCGGCATCCTGGCCGCACGAGCCCACCAGCAGGTACGCGCAGGTCCCCATAAAGTCAAAGCGTCTTCCATCAAAGCTCACGTAGTGCGGGTCTCCCGATGCCTGGCAGCTGGCAAAGTTGTCTGGGTAGCAACCCAGGAGGCCGTTCAGCACACGGCAGCGCTCCCCAGAAGGGCATCCTGATGTGTCCCTGCAGATCACCTTCTGGGTGGCCGCATCACAGGTGCAGCGCTGCCGACACAGGTCGTCAGCAAACACTTCCTGACCTGGGGCCAGGGGGCGGCCCTGGAAGGTGCAGCCACAGGATGACACAGGCACACAGTCGCCACCACTGGCCACAAAGCCTGGAAGGCACACGCAGCCCTCCACACAAGGGCGCTCAGAGCAGTTGGCCGGTGCAGCTTCTGAGTTGCAGGAGGCTGGACAGGCAGGGCTGCAGGGATCATAGCAGCTGTTGGCTGGACAGGACATGGCTGTGGAAGGACAGACGTTGGTTGGGTCAGGCAAGGGCGGGGGCTCCCCCAGACAAAGCCGCTTCCTCGGATCTCCACACCCCTCAGTTAATGGCGCTCATACCTTCTTGATGCTCAGGTCCCAATGGCCTCCTCTATCTCATTCCCGAACAACCAGTCAGTGGGCAAACCCTGTGACTTTCATAGTCAAAGCCACCCAAATCTGTCTCCACAGCCCATGAACCACAACAGACTCCTGCCTGGTGTCCTGGTCCCCTGTCCCAAATCTGCTCCTCACAGCAGCCAGAGGAGCTGGGAATGCAGGGTCAGACCATGAACCTCACCCCCAACCTCCATCTCAGGAGAAAGCAGAGTCCTCCCCAGGCCCAGGGGCTTCCCTCATCACCTCCCTGTCCCCATCCCTCCTACTCTCCTACCCATGCCCATGCCTTCTCTGTCTCAAGCCCCAATCTCTCCAAACTCTCCCTGTCCAATGATGTGTCTGTCCCAACCTTAGGCTAACTTTGGCAAGGCTTGGATGTCTTGGCCAACCTGTGTCTCTGGCATTGTCCAGCATCAGGCTGAATCACAGTCATGACTCAGATACTGAGCAAATGCAAGGGGGTTCCCTGCCTTCACCATGGGCTTCTCATCCTAGGTGCTACTCACGGCAGTTGCTTGGCGACCTCCAGTTCCCAAGAGAGACACCCAGTTCTGCACAGGCCTGGGCATAGGCGCTAAGGCTCCGGCACAGGCTGAGGCGTTCCCCTCCAGTCACACAAAGGTCAAACACACAATCCTCCAGGAAAGGCTTGGGGTCCAGGAATTCGTGGCAAGCAGAGAAGGGGCCTGTGGACAGAGTTAGCATGCCACAGAGACGGTCTCCCTTATAGTGCTGGGTCTGGCCTGCAGTGCAGGAGGGGCAAGTGGTGTGGCAGCCGTCATCACACAGGTAGTCCCCATCATCCAGCTTCCAGCTATTTGCAAATTCCAAGGCATCCGGAGCCTGTTCCCCATCAGGTGTGAGGAAGTCGTCGGCAGGGTCTCCGTTATAGTTGCCACACAGCCCCCACACCTGGTTTTGGAAGCGCTTGGGCAGGCTTAGTGTCAGCTGGCAATCCCAGTCATAGGTGACCACCAGCTCAAAGTCCAGCTCTATAACACCTCGTGTCCCACTCTGGTACACACGCAGGCGACCATCACTCAGGGAGGCAGGGAGACGGGAGCGCTGATTGTCAATCTGCGGAGAGGCGGCAGCGGTCAGACCCCTGTGTTATCTCCCCTTCCGCCCTCATCTCCTCCACTCAAGTCCCCAGCTCTAGTCACACAGAACACCCTCCTCCTTGCCCTTCCTTTGTCCTTCCCAGCGGAGCCCAGGGATGCTTGCTCTTGCACCTCCAGTGGCTGAGGTGTTCTTCCCGGGATGTGCATGAAGACCCCCCTCCGCAGCTAATGTCTGCCGAGGTGCCACAGACTCTGAGGCCACCCCTGACCACCCTTCCTGTTGCCTCTCCTCCTCTGCTTCCCGGTCCCCACAGCATCTCGCCTTCTCCTGCAGCATGCTAGTGTCCCGCATCCTCCATCTGTCTGAGCCACTAAAGGCCACCTCATGGTTTTCTCTCCAGTGCCTCCCGCAGTGCCCGGCAGGAGAGCAGGCTGGCTACAAGTGGTGAAGCCAGTGTGAGGAAGGAAGCTGGCAGGTCTGGTGGCAGCAAGGGGCAGCTGCAGGGAACCAGTGAGACCAGCAGGACTCATGGTCATGAGCTAGGGAGTGAGAGATGGGAGGCTGTGGGCAGAACTAGTCAAGACCAGCACCCGCCAAGAGGACAGATCTGCCATCACGGTGGCATATCAGTCAGCATAGCAAGATCTCTGCCCAGGGGCAGCTATAATTCAAGCCCTGGCACATTCCGAGCTGTGGGCAAAGTGGCACATGTTCCCGAATGCCTCCTCCCTCTCTAAGAAGCAAGGAGTTGGCTGTCTCTCTGCTCTGTGACACACCTTCACTTTAGAAGGGCCTCATGTCTGTCCTCCACCTCGCCCCCGCCAACGGCCATGAAATAAGCTCATTTTTCCTGACCCTGTCCATGCTGGAAGACCACAGGGGAAGACACAGCCACACAGCATGAGCAAACAGTGCGAGCTGAGGAGTCAGGCTGGGAGACAGGAGGCTCTGCCGAGGGCTGGGGCTGGACTGGAAGCCTCGAGGAAAGGTTGTACGGAATTCTGCCAGCCAAGGAAGTCTCCCCAGAGAGGGGAGAGCTGAGTCAGGCCTGGAAGGAGGAATGAGAGCCCCGGCTATTCTGCAGGAGATAGGAGGCCTGCCAGTGTGAGGCCAGTGGGTAACCCAGCGAGCCCTGTCTCAAAGCGAAAGGGAGAGAGCTGGAACGCAGCCCAGCAGTACAGCACTCAGCATTTGTGTGTGTGTGTGTGGGGGGGGGCATTCAATAATCACATTTCAAAAAATTCAGCATTTTTTTTAAAAGGACCAAAAGAAGTAGTTTCTTGTGTGAAGGAGAAAAAACCAATAGATGATGTCTATGCACACATTATCAGTTTTATACTATGCCCTTTTATGAAGTTCTTTGTGAGTCTCTATACTCACTATGTGGACAAGGCTGGCCTCAAGCTCACAGAGGCACCTGTCTCTGCCTCCCAAGCACTGGGAGGCACAACTAACCTATGAGGGAAAGAATCAAGACAGGAGACATTGCCTGAAGAACATCTGGAAAGCTGCGGTAGGATCGTCCAAGGTGATGGAAAGATTCTTTATCTTAACGGGGGTTTTGTTACACGTTTGTCAAAACTCTGTTGAAGTGCATACTTACAGTGTAGGATTTTGTTTTTTTGGGGGGATGTGTGTGAATTGAAACTGGGCCTTTCCAGGTGTGATGGTACACTCTGGAGGCAGAGGCAGGCAGATCTCTGAGGTTCAGGCCATGCTGGCCTACACAATGAGTTCCAGGCCAGCTGGAGTTATGTAGCAAGAGTCTAACTAAAATAAAAATTAAAACAGAAAGGACAAGTGCTCTGCCCTGGCTGTGCACCCAGTCCTTCATTTTTTTCAGAGTCTAAATGGGTGCTGCACCACTGAATATAAATATATTTATCTGAAAACAAAGCAAAAATTATGTAAACATTGCATTCTAGTCAATGATACGTATGTTGAAGTCATTTTGGTGATGTGTCCTGATGTCTGTAATTGGGTTTCAAGTACATAAAAAATGAGCCTGTCAATCTGACAGGAATGTACAGATGGGTATCTGTGGTAAATGAAGAATAATTAAAATATTGAGAGTCTATGCAGGGGCTGATATACAAGTGCTCACTGTCTAAATTACCTACCCTTGGTTCAAACATCTGAAATCTGAAATAATGAAATGAATCTGATGCTTTTTGAGCATTAAGAAGACATTATACATGGGTTCAGTCCCTGATACCAGAAAGGAGGGTGAATAAGATTTTAAAACTGTGTGCACTGAACACCATGTATGAAATTATCTTTAGGCTTTGTGTTAGGAATGTATGGAACCTAAATGGATTTTGTGTTTAGGCTTGAGTCCCATCATAGTATGGACATAGAAATATTCCAAAATCTTTAAAAGTTCAAAATCTGAAGCACTTTTGGCCTCAAGCATCTCAGACGAGGGAGTCTCAACCTGCACAGTGACTTGTTTAGAGACTCCCCACTGCCATGGTGGGGAAGGGGGACAACTGCTCTTGCTTTGACTGCACAGCAGTGTGTACCAGACTGAGCACAGAGACCTGGCCTCCAGCTGCATGTGTCCCTTTCCAGTGTTTACTAGGGAGACCTCACCTGTGCCCGCTCACAATACAATGCCACCTCAAAAAGATGCTGTAAGCATTAAAGACAGAATGTAACACACACACACACACACACACACACACACACACACACACACACACACACACACACACACAAAAGCATGTACCCAGGAGCAGACCTGGCACCAGCACACCGTCACCGTCACCAGTGGTGACTGGGCTGCACTAGAGATCCTTTGTTGCTGGACAGTGACATCATTCTTTTTCTATTTTCTCTTTTCCCATTTGCTTTTCCAAAGAGCACCTGATTGTCGTCTTCCTAACCGGTCACTAAACAAAACATCCTTAACGCTTGTAGACGCGGAGTCAGTGAGGGAAGGTTTTAAAGAAACGGTTTCCATGTCTCACCAGTTCCCTACCACCTCACCCACAGAAAGGCTGAGTTTGGGGTCAGAGCAGGGCTCGGGCTCCTGCTTTTGACTGGTGGCTCACGGGTACTCAACCCTGAACACTTACCCTGGCGAAGCCAGTTTCCCCACGAACCAGCGACACCGAGTGGCTGTAGGCGTAGACTGTGACCAAGCCCACGTAGGAGACTTGCCGGCTGCCGCGGTGCTCATTCTTGGCCTCCACACTGAAGGCGGGCAAGGTCTCATCCTCTCCACTCAGCTCAGCCATGGTGTAGGAGCAGGTGCCCATCATGTCATAGCGACGGCCATCGAAGGTGGTGTAATGGGGATCACCCTGGGCGCGGCAGACAGCTGTGGACTCTGCCACACACCTGGCCTTCCCACTCACCATCTGGCAGCGCTGCCCGGATGTACACTGAATGCCTTGGCAGGAAGCCTCTGCTGGGGAGAGCCGAGCTGGGGAGGGAAGAGAGTTAGAAACAGAGTTAGAAATGTTCGTGAGGTCAGAAACCTGGGGTCCTCCTTCAGTGTGGACGATGGGCAGTTGGCTCACAGCCACCCATTTTACAGGTATAGAAACTGAGGTTTGCAGTCTCATGGAGAGGGATTCTCTGG